TTTTTTTTTTTTTTTTTTTTTTTTTTAAACAGTTCCTTATGGTCCTGGCTCCTACTGTTCTGGGGAGCGTCAGTCCGGTTCCTATTCCACCGGCAAGTCAAATTATACATTACATCACTTACCAATCACACACGCTTCCTTCCGTCAGGCCAAAGGACCCTTGAGCAGCATTGATTGCTCCACCACGGGAGGATTAACTGTCAGCTTGCCTTGTCCCTCTCTTTCCTCTCAGACCCGGAATCCAGGTCTGTCAGATAATGCATTTGACCCTAGAAAGATCTCATCTGTTGTCCTTACCCAACCTGATCCTTCCCCATACACCACTTTGCCCCCTTTGGAAGGTCAACCGTTTATCATTAAACCCTACACCCTCAGCCTGCATTCTTATCATCCGATCGTCCAAATTGGGCCCTGGCAGGGTGCTCGTCAGCTTCCGGATCTCTGAGATGGGATCATCCTTTGCGATCCCCGTTCAAGCTCCAGAGTTATCAGACTTATTTCTCCTTTCTCCACGTTGTCTGTACCCCCTGGGTCGCTTGAGGATTATGTTTATCCTCTTGCGGCCGAAGATGTGGTTAAGCCTTCCAGCGTTGTCTGATGTTGGGAACCCCTTTCTGGAATTGAATTGTGCCAATCTTTCCAGCATACCCGGTCCTGTCGCAATTCTCCAACCTTGCCATCGACCAGCCAATTCCTATAGAATCTCTGGCTCTCCTTGTTCCGCTGTTCTTCGTCTTCTGTCCAGGCTCGTTTGATCTGCAAAGGATCTTGGCTTGAATCATTGTTTTAGTTTCTATCCACACTTTCTCCCGTGGGTTGGACCGTCCTTCAATTGTTCGACTGCATCTCTCCTTCCATATGACCCATAGGGTCACTCTCCTGATGAGTTCACACCAGATCCTCTCAGCCTTCCGAGCCTGATCAGGGATGTTAGTCAAGAGGAGCAGTTGAATGGGTTGGTCGCCTCTTTACAGAGCACTAGGCAGTGGACTACGTCTTCTACCGAGCCTTCAGAACAGACTGTACATAATTCCGAGCTGTCTGGGTCTGTGGTTTTCCGTCTAATGTGCAGCCATTGGTTCACCGGCAGGGCTGCGTATACAATCAGCCATTGCAAACTTCTAATCTTGATTGGTCTGATACGTATGAATTTTTCCCAATGGATTCGTGTAATTTTGTCCGCCATCTGTTCTTGATGATTGGATCTGGATTTTTAGTCTTCAGAGACAGTCTGCACCCAAGTTTTACTGAGTAATCCTGGATTGGGATTTTTGACTTGAAGTTGCTGGTGGTATTTGGCTTCCAGGCCCACTCCGCTGGGTCGAACTCCAAGGATCGGATGGCAGTGTCCGGTCTGAAAATTGCCTTTGGCCATGTACCTAGGACCCTTACTTTTGTGAGGAGGAAGGAATCCAGTATAGATGTTTCTACATTGCAGTTGAAAATAGCTGGCATGTCCGTATTGGTGAAGGAGACCGGGAAGGAGAGGAAAATGGCTCTGGTGTGTGAGCCTTGCTGCATGTGCGAGAATTGATAGGCTCTAGTAAGGGATGTGTCTTGAATCATAAGACCCCATTCGCCCGGTCTCCACGACTCATCTTTTACCAGCATATCTTTCCACTCCTGAGGAATACGAATGAGTATGTATTGAAGATTGGTCTCTCGTCTGTGGCATCCTTTCAGTCGGGCACTAGCTTCTTGTTCTGTTATCCAGTCTTTTCTGTCCTCCATCCACTAGTGGTCTACTTTCCAGATACCGTTCTTGATCCAAGATAGCCACCTCTGCTCTAGGAAAAGTGGGTTGTTGGCCTCGTTTGTTAGCCATTCATTCCCGAAGAGCGGTTGTCTTAGTACTTCATCTTTAGATTTAGGTTTGTTTATCTTGTTGGGGATTATTTTCCTCCACGATCGAAGCAGTGCCGGCCAGTAAGGGGTAGGCGGCCGATGGTCTTCGGGTATGTTATTCCTCGTCCGATTCCTCCGTCCTGTAGATATCACCCATTCTTTGTTCATTACCCGAAACAGGCCTGACATATCGTTCGGGGAGGGAACTGGTGCTACCGATCTGATACTATCCAGTGCCAACTTATTCCAGGCGTTATCCGGGTTCATCGGCAGTTTGATGATCCAATAATTTGCACAGCTTTCGTTTCTGTTCCGGGGTCAATGATTCCTAGGCCCCCATCTCGTGGCCTCCTTGTGATGTAGTGCCAGGCTATCTTAGATATGCCCTTGTCTTTGTTGGGGTCTCCTGTCCATAGGTAGATCCTGGCTCGTCTGCTCAGCTCCTTAGTCGAGCTGTCGGGAACTGTCCAAATAGAAGCAATATACCACATCATTGAGAAAACCGACGTATTGAGGACCAGCGCTCGGCCGATAAGGGAAGTGAAGGCGTTGCCCCACCTTCCGATTTTGTTAATCTGTTTGGCCAAACAGATTAACAAAATCGGAAGGTGGGGCAACGCCTTCACTTCCTTGGAGAGAAAGGGGTTCGTCCTCGCAGAGCCACCAGCCAATTGTTTTCCCCCAATTGATCTTCATCTCTGAGGCTAACCTGAATGTTTCCATTGCTTTAGCTAGTGTTCTGAAGGAAGAATCTGATGCTCTGATCAGAAATCATCGACGAACATGATAGCTGCGGGGAAATCCATCTGGTGGGCCGAGCCTACATCAGTGTTGGCAAGTCTCTGAATTGATGGATCCTTGCGCAGGAAGGATGCGATTGCCTCCATTACGAATAGGAAGATTGACGGAGCTAGTGGGTCCCCTTGGCGGACCGAGCAGGATATCAGGTAGCAATCTGACAAAAGTCCATTGACTTGGGCACAGCCAACTGCATCCTTGTAGAGTATCCGAACCCATTTTCTGAAGTTCGGTCCGACTCCCATTCTTTCCATGCATGCTTCCATAAAGTCCCAGTTGACTTGATTGTATGCTTTCTCAAAATCAAAGAAGAGAATGGCGGCATTTATTTTCCTTTCTCAGATTTTTCTTACTGACTCGTTCAATGTCATAACATTATCCATGATATAACAACCCGGGATGAATCCTGTTTGGTCAATGTGGAAGCATTTGTTGGTGATCTTAATGATCCGGTTAGACAGGGTCTTAGCCAGGATCTTGTATGGGAGAGTTAACAACGATATGGGCCTGTAATTTCTGATGTCGTCTTTTTCGCCCTTTTGTAAAGTAGTGTGATCACGCTGCGGCTGAGGAGATTACCCAGCCCCCCCTTGGACCAACTGTCATTATAGAAGTTTAGCAAGTCACTTCCTAGCAAGGGCCATAAATTTTCCCATAACTCTTTTGTTAACCCGTCAATTCCTGGGGTCTTGTTGTTGTTCATGCTTTGTAGAGCCCGAAGTATTTCTTCTGATGTGATTGGTTTGTCGAGAGCTTCAACCTGGTTGGCTGATATTGTTCGCTCTAGGTAGTGTAGCATTTTCTGCCTTGCCTCTCTGACATTGAAGGATACTGGTGCCCCAGTCTTAGACTGGTATAGATCCTTGTAGAAATTGTTGGCTATCTCCAACATCCCTTCACTATCTGATTTCACGGTTTCGGGAGTTGCGTGTGACCTCAGGCCTTCTATCGTGCCAACTCTCGAACTAGCTTCGATTCGGGCAAAGAAGTGTTTAGTCATCGAGTCACTGAGTTCGTACTCACACATTCTTGCTCTTATTTGAAGGCCTTTTAGATCCCACCATTTCCACATGGCCAATTCCTCTCGGGCCTTGTCAAAAATCTCGATATATAGTTGAGAGGCGGGGTCGTTTGTCAGGTTAGATTCTACTATTTTCAGTGCAAATTTTAATGATTGTTTTCTTTGTTTCCTTATTGACGCTAGCTTCCTAGAAACTTTGGCCACGGTGTCCGAAAGGATCGAGTAGCTCTTCTGAAACCATTCCCATTGAGGAACAGTGCTTAGGCGTACCGACCTCAACCCTTGCCAGCAGTCGCAAACTTCACTTTGGAAAGTTTGGCTCAACAGGAGGGAGTTGTTTAGTTTGTGGAAGCTGGCTCCCTTTGTAACCACTTGGTCAAAGCATATGACCAGTTCAGTTGGTTTGTGATCCAGCCCAGAATATGGAGCCAACGGTAACACTTCAGCTTCCTTGACTGCCCCCATCATGACTTCGGACACTAGAAAGTAGTCTATTCATGAAAAGACCATATGGTTAGCATGGTTTTTCTTGACTAAGGTGAAGGTTCTCTTGTTGGGGTGTAGGATTCTATGGGGATCTACCAGGTTGTGGTTCAGCATCATTTCCTAGATTGGTGTTGCTTCTGATAAGTTTGGGGTACTGGAGGATCGAGAAATACGGTCCACTGAAGGGTCTATTGTAGCATTCCAATCTCCTGCCATAATACATGGGGTAAATGGCCGAATCAGGTCTTCGATTTATCTTAGAAAGGACGTTCTTTCAGCTGGCGAGTTTGACGCATAAATATTGAAGAGTAAGAGTTCCTCTTCCTTCCATTTCAGATGTAACATACACCACCTACCATCTGTCTGATCGACTTTCTTATCAACGGCCGGGCCTGCTGCATACAGGCGGGAGGATTTGAAAATCAGGATGGTCGTTCCCTTAGTGCTTGTTTCAGGGTCAACCGACCAAATTTCGTCCTTCAGGCCGCCTAGTTTTCTTGCCATAAATGAGCGAATTCTATTGTGTGTTGTTGAGAAGGTGAAGTGTGTTTCCTGCAATAGCACTATATCTGCTAGCTTCCTATCACTCAACGAGATCCCGGATAGTATATCGTTCCACTTTTCTTCTCTTTCTACTATGTTCCCTAATCCATTGACATTCCAGCTTCTGAGGACTAATCCTTGGTTCTTCCAATCCATGTGGTCTCTTACCTCATTCGCTCTTCTCCTGTAGCTCTCCATAGCAGCAGCTGGGTCAGATTAGAGAGCATCTTGGTCCCAGACCGTCTAGGTAGGGGAAAGTGGAGAGGTGCCCGTGCTTGCCCGTTCCCTAGTTGTCGCCTGAGACGACCCTAATCCGTTGTCCTTTGATGGGGAGAATGCAGAATCTCCTGCCTTGTCTGAACTCTCTGGGTCAATTTGGCCATTCTCTTGCTTACCTAGGTCAGTGTCCCGGCCCACGATCTCACCTTCATCGTCCCCTTCCCACTCGGAACAGTCAGAGGCGTCACTTCTGTAGAACCTGTCACAATCCAGGGCGACTGCTCTTGCATCTAGATCCTCGTCCCCTTCCAGCTGTCCTGATTTGACAATTTGAGCCACAGTTGTGGCCATCAGTTCTGCCAACACACCAATGCCAGCTAGGATGCTGTAAGGGACTTCGGCCACTGTTCGCCACGGTTTCCAGATCATCCTTGTTCTCAACGTTGTTGATTCTAACATCTTGGCTATCAGGGGTGAGAAGGCCCTTGGGGAGTTTCTGGTCATCTTGCCCTTACCACATTTGACACTTCCTGTTTCCTCCTGTGCGCTAGAGTCGATCAGATCTGATTCCAAGGCTACTGTCTCAAAGAGCCCCGGTAGGGATTCCAGTGTTACATGTTCTTTGAGCACCTTCACCACGTTTTCCCCCTCTACAAAGTGGGGGATTTTGAAGGCTATGTCCGTTGCGATCTGCCACTCCCTCGCGTTTGACACGTACCTGGCTGCAATGAGAGGTCGGATGTTCCTCAGTGTTCTGCGAGCCGCTTTGGCCGATTCTGATACCATTGAAGCCTTTCCGCTAGCAATCTGCGAAATGGTAGTAAATTCAGGTGCATACTCTTTGTTCCACTTCTTTCTCTAAGAGGTCTCGTTCCGATTTCTCTTCTGCCTCGGTTTGGTCATTGTTAGTTTCCTTCCGTTTCTTGTTCTTAGCCAATTTCCTTGCCTTGGGTCGTAAGTCCTCGAAGTTGTCCTCGGTTGTGGGGATGGTCTTGTCCTTGTCCTCTGTTCCTCGTTCCCTTGCCCTTTTCTTCTCAGCATATCTGAAAGCCTCATATTCAGAGAATTCTTCTGTTTTGACTTTCTTGAGGATTTCGTACTGGTTAGAGGAGCTATTGCTTCCCGCTGATGCATCTCTTTTTCCCTTCGCCTGGGACCTCTCTGCATGTTTCAAGAAGGCTACACGAATATCAAATGCATGTTCTCTTTCCCTTTTTGCCCACTCCACATAGTCTCTGAGCCAAGTCCAGGACTGCATGGAACCATCCTCCTCTTCCGTGGAGGCAGCGTCAAGGGCTGTGTCCTTCCCCTCAGATTCCTTGTCTGCCTGACCTCCCGTCAGATCCATGTCCATTCCTTCCCCTTCCGCCCCGGTTTCTGACATTCCCGTTTCCTTTCCTCCTGCTGATTCCTCTGCCCTCCTCTTTGGGCTGGATTCTTTCTCAGACGACCCACCATCGCCTTGTAGCTGGCGTTTGTTGTCAGCTTGTGATTTATTCTTTCTTTTGTATGTTGTTGTACGACTTGTTTCAGTATTTCTCTGAACGAGCTTGGTTCCTTATTGTACTCCTGTTCGATCTGCTCCCTTGTTGTGTCAAGATCCCACAACATATCTTCCCTTGCTTTTTCCTCCCTAATCACCCGTGAATCTGTAATGGGGCTGGTGTTGATCTTCGTCGGGTTGCCTTTAACTTTCCCCATTGCTTTCTTTTGCCATCTGCTATCTGTCAGGGGGAGAATGTCCGACTTTTTGGTGGGAGGCGATTGGTCTGCAAAGTGCCAGACCTAGTCAGGTTCATCAAGGTTGTCGTCAAAGACCCATCCATCATAACACGAATCAGCCACGTACCAGATACCGGGTGCATCTTCCACTTCTACCAGCATGTTCGGTAGAAGCTTTCTTTCTTTAGTTTGCTTCGGGAACTTAGGACAACTCGGGTCAGTGCCCACGTGGCCTCGTTCTCTGCATCGAAAGCAGATCGGTGAGGCTCTTGTAGAAATCCTTACTTCAATCACCCTGTTTTCAATCTGGAATTTCCAGACCTGCGGGAAAACAAGGGGATCGTCCGTCTGCACGCCCAAAATTGTTGTCAAAGTGCCACAGTGAGGCGTAGAATCCATTTCAGGAATTTGTTTGCTATGTATTGTCTTTCGAGCCTGTCCACCAGTAATCCGTGGAAGCCTGGTTGTATGTTGTCGAATTGAACCTCGAAGTTCTCCTTCATTAAAGTTTGTTGTAGGAGACTGCGAATCCTGGGGTCTGTCTTTGGGCTGAGAGTTTTTTCCACCTTGTGATTGTGCAAACTGAAACGTGGCAGTTTCTGGATTGCATTTCTGCTGCAATCCTCGCGTGGTCCTCGTGGATGAATAGTACCATGATATTGTTCAGGCCCAGGTTCGGCAGCGAGAAAGTGTCACCAATCTGTTTGCATCTTGTTTCCTTTCGAATCGTTTCGATTACCCACTTTCTTTTTTCAGCTGGCTTGAGATCTGCCCCGTGGCGTGCAAAGTTAAAAACCACACCGTGATTTTCATGCAGCTCATCCAACTCGGCGATCTTCTCTTCCGGGTATTTCCATATAACCACTTCTTCTTCTTTTCCTTCCACTATCTGTTTTTCAGTGGATTCGATTCCTTGGACTTTCGTCTTTTCGATTAGGAATTTGAGAGCTTCATTGTCAATAACGTTGACAATCTTCTCCGGAGATTCCTGATCAATTGGAATCGTGGCATGCGTTTGATTTGCCATCTTTTCTCCGTTTAAAAGATCGAACCTGTCCCCTTCAATTCTTGCTACGCCGTTTGTTAATCCCTCGTGTGGGGGGAGTGAGGGAGAGGGAGAG